CTGCAGTTTGTTCCCGGCCCCAGTGAGGTTGTGTGGGTGGCAACCACTCGATGTGTCTCTCTCACATTGATGTTTCTCTCTCTCTCTCTTCCTCCCACCCTCCCTCCAGCTCTATCTGAAAAAGACCATTCCTGAAGATGAATGCATATTTTAATGCCTGTAAGTTGCAGTTTTTCTAACAGGTATCATTACTTTATTTATTAAATCTCTCACAGTCTATTACTTGTCATTGATATATAATCTAGCTACTGAAAAAATTGGTTATGCTGTCCCAGACATGCAAAACAATCTAATTTTCATGTCAACCAAACGAAGAAGCTGCAGAATAGCTAAAAACGAAAGTTGTTTAAATATAGGTAATTTTAGCAGGCATTTAACTATACTAGATTCTGAAGGCTAAAAGCCATTCATTTTTAAGTATATATTTTTACAATAGAATTTAGGGTTTTTTAAAAAATCCTTACCGAGGACATTTTTGCATTTATTTTCAGATAGAGCAGGAAGGAGGGGGGAAGAGAGAGAAACAGCGATGTGAGAGAGACACATTGACTGGTTGCCACCCACATAACCCCAACCGGGCCAGGGTCAAACCGCAACCTAGATACGTGCCCTTAGTGGGAACTGAACCGGTCTCTCTGGTCCGCAGGCCAGCGCTCTAACTGCTGAGCCAAACCAGTCAGGGCTAGGATTTAGCTTCACAGTAGCAATTACTAGGACAAGACATTAGAAGCCAAATATTCTTAGTATGTGGGTGATATTTCTTGTGTCGAGGGGAAGGGTACAGAAAGAAACATTGCCCTAGCAAGAAAGTACTTTTCTCATAGGGGTGGACATAGAATCAGAACATCAAGATATGTAACTTTTCTTTTAAAGCTATGCTTAAAAAAAAAAAGTACTATCAGTTCTTGAGGTTCTATAAATGAGATGTAGTACCACACATAAGCATATTATGTAGCAAGGCTCAGATGCCATCTTTTAATTTGTCAAGGATTATACACACAGGATCAGAGAAATTTACTCTGACACTCATGACGGGTAATTTATTTATACATTTTTTTCCTGGTTCATTCTTGAGCTCTAAAGGGTAAGTGCTTAAGAAAATCCTATTTTCTGAACAGTTCTTGCACTCAACTAAAATTTAGGAACGTGTCAGAAAGGTTTTCTATTAACTTCTGAGTAGACTGGTAGATAGATTATCCTAATTTCTGGACAGCCTCGTTATAGTAGTGATATATATTTATATATACAATCTGAGGTTCTGTGCTGATAGTTTTAATCAAAATCCAAAGGAAAAATATATTCAAAACCAATTAAATATATTAACCAATTAAAAAAAATAACCTCTAACATCTGTCATCTTGCTGTTGATGTGAAGTAGGACTTAGAAATATCAACTACCTATACTAAAAAGGAAAATAGTACTTAATTGCAGACAAGATGAAGTCTTACATTTATCCCACAAAGTGGTGTATCTTTTACTACCAGGACTAGAACAGAAATGAATTCTTGGCGAAAACACAAAAACAGTGCTCAATGCTTTTTATATGAATTAAAAACCAGTGTTTGCATATGGAAATAGTTATAAATATTAAATGAAATTTTTGTATTTTATACATGTACTTTTTTAAGGCAGATTGTACAAATACAAAAAACTACTGTCAAATTTCAAGTTACTTTTCATTAACTACCTATCTCACCCACAGAAACCCTTCTATGTAGTTTAAGGTTATATAATCTTATTGCTAATCAACCAACAAACACCCCCATCATTCTCTCCAAAATTATAAGCTAATACTTATGAATAAAAATCAGTACATCTTTGCAATTATGCAAACAAGAGTCAAATTAAGTCAAACATTTACATGACCTGGAAGAGATCAAACAACCTTTCCAAGTTATGGTAGTTACCTCAAATGTACATGTGTCTTGGAGAGGATGGGACAGGATGAAAGAGGCCTTGCTTCTCAATGTATATCCACAAATTTGTTTTTTAACCCAGTGAATGTATTACTGACTCAAAAATTTACAACAGTAAAATGGTTAACATGTTGCTATTACATTACTTAGTAGACATTTGCTCATTTTTAGTTACTTGCTATAAACTTTGTTTAAGACATGTGCAAAGAAAACCTTAATGAAAGGAATGATTCTAATCACTTCAAATAGAAAATTTTAAAGTTGCAGAACTTTAACTTTTCACTATACAACTTAATGTAATCTATCTTGTTCATTCTCAAATAATTCTAAGTTTTAGAAATTATTCTATGACATTAAAATTAATAATTCAAGAGAATGAGAACATGCCATAGGCTGGGAGAAAATATTTGCAGAACACATATCTACTAGAAGACTATTGAAAAAATATAGAAAAAACTATAACTCACCTCAAATAACCCGGTTAAAAAATGGGCCAAAAACCTTGCCAGACACCTCATCAAAGATAAATAGATGGCAAATAATACGAAAAGATGCTCTATGTCATCGGGGAAACAAATGAAAACAATGAATACTACATATCTATTGGTCAAAATCTGGAATACTAACAACACTAAATGCTGGTAAAGATGTAGAGCAACAGGCCCAGTCAGTGTGGCTTAGTGGTTAAACGTTGACCCATGAACCAAGAGGTTGCCAGTTTGATTCCTGAGCAGGGCACATGCCCAAGTTGTGGGCCCGATCCTCAGTGGGGGGTATACAGGAGGTGGCCAATCGATGTTCTCTCTCATCAATGTCTCTTTTTTTTAATCCCACTAGAGGACTTTTATCTTCAGATAGAGCAGGAGGGAAAGACGGAGGAAGAGAGAGAAACATAGATGTGAGAGAGACACATCGAGTGGTTGCCACTCACACAACCCTAAAACCTGGGCCGGGGACAAACTGCAACGGAGTATGCGCCCTTAGTGGAAACTGAACCTGAGACTGATCCGTGGGCTGATGCTCTAACCGCTGAGCCAAACTGGCCAGGGATCTCTCATCCATGTTTCTATATCTCTCTCCCTCTCCCTTCCTTTCTAACATCAATAAAGAAAAAAAAAAGTAGAGCAACACAAACTCGCATACATTGCTGATAGGAATACAAAAATGGAACAGCCATTTGGAAGTTTGGCAACTTTTCACAAAACTAAACATATTCTTATATAATTCAGCAATCATACTTGGTGTTTACCCAAAGGATTTGAAAACTTATTTCCACACAAAACTTACACACCAATGTTTATAGCAACTTTATTCATAATTGCCAAAATTTGGAACCAAAATGTCCTTCAGAAGGATAAACTATGGCACATCCAGACAATAGAATATTATTCAGCACTGAAAAGAAATAAGCGATCAAGTCATAAAATCATGAAGGAAATTTGTGAATATTACTAAGTGAGAGAATCCAATCTGTACAGGTTAAATGCTGTACGAGTCCAACTATATGGCATTTTGGAAAAGGCAGAATATCGACAGTAAAAAAATCAATGGTTGCCAGGTGTTGGGATATTGTAGGGAGTAGGCAGAGGCAGTGGATTCTAGGGACAGTGAAAATACTCTATACCATGACGGATACATACCATTCATTATACATTTGTCCAAACCCATAGTATGTGTAACACCAACAGTGAACTTGTAAAAAATGGACAATGGGTGATTATGAGTCAGTTTCAACAAATGTACCTCTTGTGGGAGATGTAATAGAGGATATATATGTGTGGAGAGAGGGTGTATGGTTAACCTCTATACTTTCCTATCAATTTTATTGTGAATCTAAAACAGCTCTAAAAAATGTTTAACAAATTTAATAGGAAATACTATGTGCCAAGCAGTTACCATCTTTAGAGTTGAAGCCTGGTTCCAGGGTCCATTACCCTCTTCACCAGTATGCCACACACTGCTTGAGTTTTCTTTTCAAATTGATTCACTGTGGGAAGCCCACCTCAGATCCCCAAACCAAGGGCTCATTTTTACAGATTAAAGCCTGCTGAAGAGATATGATAAAAGGTGTAGACCAAGGTCATACAGTAATTCATGTCATCAGTTTGTCCAGCTGAACATTTTTGAAGTGCAGAGATGTTTGAGAAACATGGTACATTTAAAATGCCTAGTATCTCAGTATACATTTCAAAGTTAAAGCCCATTTTTATTCTTGCCAAAGAAACATTCCAGTTTGAATGCAACTCTGTAGAATTGAACCTTCTTAGCTCCCTTACACACTTAGGTTTCCTTTTCCCCAATAGATGCTTCTGACAAAGATCAAATCTGTTCTCAATTAACATTTCTTATACAAGATTATAAAAATATTTATTCAAAGATCTTTATAGGCCAGTGAAGTTCAAGGGTTCATCATCTTTCTGTTTTATCCCCCACTTACCGCTCTTTGATTTCAAAACCTTAGAGTTAAAATAAATGTTGACAGAAGTAGCACTGAGGGAGAAATGTCTTAGTTTTAAACCTTATCAATCGTGATTCTTCAGTATCTTTCATATTTCAGGAGATACTATCCTTATCAGATGTCTACATATCTTCCCCACTGGAAGCAAAAGTATCAACACCCAAACTGTTAACAAGTGATAATGAACCAGGGTAAGAATTTCCCATCAAAAATCCCATCACTAAGAAGCATTGGTTCTATTGTTACCCCACATGACACCTTCAAGAACCAAGCCCATGGATCCATCTCTACATTAGAGCCACCCAAAACAGAAGGAAAATAAAACTATGCAGGTAACAGACCATAATTATTCAAATTTCATTCTTAAGTGTTGACTTTTAAGATCCTAAAATAGCCTCATTTCTTAAAAAAAAAACAATTGCCTATTATGTATCATACTTGAAGGTATTTTACAAAACTCATCTCATGGTTCTCACCTGAACACGATTAGATGGCAATGGGGAAAAACTTACATAGCCATGCAAAATCTACATATGCAACTAAGTAATTGATTATGAAACATTTTCTAATCAACCCCCTGTAGGATGTCTAGCTATGGCTTAAATACCCAATGAACAAGTGGAAATTTCCCTCTGTACATGGCTTTTATTATTTACATAATACAATATAGCATCAATGCTGGATAGCATGATTATGTGCAATACATAAATATGAACTATCTGTACACATCTGCAAATCTAACTCAGAACTAAGGTACATAAAATTGAAAGCAAATTTGAATGCTTTAATAAAAGTAAAAACTAGGACTGAACACTGCAATAAATCAGAAGTAGTTCCTCGTGTACATACTTAACTATTTACAGATGAAAACAGGCAATAACCACAACACTAATCTAACTATACTCATTTATATATAAAAAACACAAGTTTCATACATCACAGAAAACCTTCCATTATAACACAGAAGTGATATTACCAGACAAGCATCAGTGAAGTATACTGCCTCTTCTAGTTGTTATTGTACAATGCTGTAAATAATGCAGCCCATGCAACACACCCAAGAACACTAGAGTCCTACACCCAAGTACAATTGTTATGATAAAGCAGCCCTCTGCAAGTGGTGCTGGATACCACTAAGAAGTCTACTGCAGCCATGTTGGTTATGATTTTCCATGCAGAAGGGTACAGTTACGTTAAGAACCGAAGTCTTTAAAAAAGCTTTAAACATTCTTTCTTGAACCAAAACATTCAACAAAAGATGCACATGAAAAATTAACTGTTCAGATACCTTTGCAACTTAAAAAGTCAGATGCATGTTATTCAATAGAGCTGCTGTATGTGAAAACCAAACGTAGTTTTAATTTCTTCTTGTAAACAAATTAATCCTAGTGCAGTTCTGTGCTACACAACATTTTTAGCAATGTGAGTAATGCAGACATCTTCTGGTGCAGGCCAGCACAATAAGCTTCAATGATAGCTCCAGACCCTGTTGCTTGATGGTTTTGCTCTTATAACCAGTTGCAATGTCTTATTTGACAGCGCTTTGACCAATTAGCCAGGCTTACATATGGCATCAAATACTGCTTTCACAGAAAGGTCTGATCCTCTTTATCACCTTCTTCCTGCTTCCAAAGAACGTGTTGTAGAAATTAACAAGGTGAAGTTTAACTATGGTAGAAGTAGACTGCCAGTCCTTTTCTGGTGTACCATTTTTTAGAAAAATACAGGCACATAACACTAGCCAAAGATTATACCTTGATTACATTCCCAAAAGGCAGATATGCTGCAAACATGCGGAGATTTCATGTGTTTTGTTTGGCACGTGGGAACTAAATTTTGTCCCTATTATTTGTAATTCAATTTGATGTGCAGATTTTCATCCAATTTTATTCAAGGGAGGGCATATACATTTTGTAGGGCTGTATCTATCCAATTCTGCCTGTAACAAACACCCAAACATCCTAAAATATCAATTATAAGACAGACAAGTATAAAGTAAAACTCTGGAGAACATCAAAGAAAAATGGCCATGCATCTGCTCTTTAATGTTTTCCTACGATATATTAAAATAAAAACAAAGTTTCAGTCTCTTCACAAGTAGTAATTTATATTCTCTGGATTTTTTCAGCCACAACAACTGGATTCTCTTTTCTGATTTTTGCTGCAGCTTCTGCTTTGTAATCATATGGACAGTTGTGCTTGTCAGAGTAACGGTGAAGTCCACAAAACAAATTTCCACATCGGCAGTCAAATCCTGTACACACAAGAGGAAGCAGAGTCACTTGGGAACTTGTAGCAATTGGGGGGGGGGGGGCTTACTCACTATAGAAAAGGAACCTACTTTCCATAGCTCTTTGCAACATAAACACAGAATCTGTCACTTCAAACTGTGCAAGAGCTTTTAAACCACCTATGACATGGTGAGAAATTCAAATATCATCTACAGATATCACACAGGGTAGAAATTATACAGGCCCTGGAGTCAGAATGACCTGGATTTAAATCTTCTCCTACTATATGTTAAGTGGGTAATGTTTCAAGTGAAAACTAGGGAAAGACAAACCAATTAAAGGAAATAATTTAAAAGTATTTAGAGTATTTGTGCCTGGCTCAAGGTAGATGCTTACTGTTTAGTTCAGCCACCTTTTCCCCAGAACAAAGGAAGGAATCAAATGGGATAAACTTTTATCAATCTAAAAAAAGGAAAGTAATTCATAAGGCTTGAAGTTAAGTGAATTTCATATAATTAGGGAGATAAATGGAAATCAAACTAGATTTCTTCCCACTATCCCCCTCTCTAGTCCACCCTGGAAACTTTCTACTCCTGAAAGAATGTTTTACGTATAAGATCAACCAGCACCTTATGAAGCAACCAGGAGTTCCTTGTTGAACCCTAGCTGTAAAATATACACTGTCTATTGTGTCCTGTAATACCTGTAAGGCCAACTTTCTTTCTGCACATGAAACATCTGTTCTTCTTTGGTTTGGGTAACTCAGGGGCTTTTTCTTCACTTTGAGAAGTACTGGGCTGAGAAACTGATGAACTAGGCTGAGTGACAACTGAAATATAAGGGTACAAATTAGAAATGTCAAATAGTTCAGTTAATTGCTGCCAATTAACCAATTAGCTAAGTTGAAAAAAAAAAATACATCCTTAATATTCTTAGTAAGCCTTTCTTAAAAAGGCGTAAATAGGATTTTACTTTTACACCAGAACTTTCCTCTAAATTTTATAAAATTATCATTCCACTCAAATTCCTTTAAACCCACTCTTAACACCTAGTACTGAGAAATAAAATCCCGATTCTGAAAGTTTTTAAAGACCTGAGATACATTGGTCACATATTCAGTTTTTCCATATTGCAATCGCCTACATGTAAACATCTTAATTAGGGTTGCTCAAATTCATTACTACTCAGTAAATAAAGTTGACAACTTCTGTGGTACTTGACTATAAAAGTCATTTTGGTTTTATACTTATAGAAAAAAAGGTTGTGTAGATAAAACCAGCAAATTTTGACATGTAAAACACCAAATCATTAATCACTATCTTCAGGCCTTAAAATTTCACAATAATCATTTTGCCATTTTAACACATTTTCACATGTGCTTTATCGTCTTACATAGAAGAATCTGGAAGATTTTTTTTGAAAGTTTCTTTTGAAAGATTAACAAACTGGCCCTGGCTGGTTTGGCTCAGCGGTTGGACCAGAGTGCCAGGTTCAGTTCCTACTGGGTCCTAGCGGCTAGGGGCACATACCAAAAAAAACCCCCAAAACAACAAACTGTAGGACAATAATAAGTACTTGTGAAGTTCTGACTTTGGAATGTTAAGGATTTTAAAGATAAAACAAGAATTTTTGATTTACATTAAAAAGTCTGTATCTCTACCTAAAAGGCTTTAAAAGTTTCAGTTCACACATAGCACCAATTGAATATCAATATAAAGGTAAAACTGTACATTACTGGATTAAAGCTCACATTACTACTAGTTATTTAGAACAGAATACCAAATGTAACTTAACTACATTAGAAACACTATAAACTGAGCTTTAATATTAATCCAAACCCCAACAATAGCAAATTAACATAAGCAATGCTAAAAATACTGCCTAAACAATAGGCCAGCACCAATGCTGGTAACATAAATCCAAACTCTAGACACAAGCCAATTGGTTTAATGACAACTTACTCTAAAATTCTCCCCAAATTTATACCTCATTTGCATTAGTAATTTATCCAGTGAGATTAACAGCCTGATATTAGATTAACAGATTATTCTACCTATTACTTATTCCTAACAATCTACTTTGACAAACTCACTATAATTTTTCCTGATGGTATGAGAATAGTTTGTGGGCGGAGAGGAGTGACAGCCATTTCCTTGCAAAAAACTAAACAGTGGTTCAATATGGGTAAGAAGGGAGTTAATAAAAATCAAACAAATACAGAAAAAGGTAAAGCAAACAGCAAATTACAGAATTCCTATTCAGAAATAATAAATGTGGAGACTAGATACAGATCTAACCCAAAAGACTACTGTTCAAGGCCAGACTAATTTTGTGTTTCAATAACAGAAACCTAGCGCGGTTGGTGTGGCTCAATGGTTGAGCATCAACCTATGCACCAAGAGCTTGCCAGTTTGATTCCCGGACAGGGCACATGCCAAATCCCCAGTGAGGCGCATGCAGGAGGGCAGCCAACCAATGTTCTCTCTCATCGATGTTTCTCCCTCTCCCTTCCTCTCTCTCTAAAAATCAATAAAGAAAAAAACAAACAAAACCAGAAACCTTAGACACACACACACAAACACACGCACACAAATCTGGTCCGCTTTTTCAGAAGGATGGAACTTATTTCAAAATATCAAATATGGATTCACTTGCCCAACTTATAAATTTTCACTTTAACTTTGTAAATTAAGATTCATATAGTTCACATATGCTTGTGATGTTATTAAAAGCAAGTCTCCAAAGCAGACTATATATCCACTGACATCATTTCTTCACAATAAAGTTTTATACTATTGTGTTCAGGCAACACTACCAGGAAATAATGAACTGATCAAAAATGAACTATGTGCACTATAGTATACATAGATCCTTGTTCTAGGCCTAGCACAGGTAATTCAAGCAAGTCAATCTTCTGGCTAATACATTAGAGTACTTGTGGATGCACTATATAAATCAAGCACTGACTCAAAGTTACTATCTAATGAAAACCAAAAATGCCTTTCCATACTGACTTTTAAACTCTCACAAAATGTGGAATCCTATACTTCAACTTGTAAGTTTTAGTATTTAATGTTCTTTTGTTTGAATAAAACAGTGAGTAAACCATTATTTAAGTTTAATAAATTCTTAATACTTCCAGTCTCCAGATTAGAAACTTTGCATTTTTATTGGTGTGGGGGCTGGTGGGGGGTAGAGAAGAAGAGAGTAGAGTGACTATTTTACACTCTCTAAAGAGAGTGGTTCTTGCTCAGCCTGTATTTTTGGGCTCTCTCCCTCTTTGGTCCTTCAATGGGAAGAAATGAATCCCCCACCAACCCTTTTCTCATACTGCAAAGTCCAGAACTGAACTAGTATTAAACAAAAAGCATACCTGGCTCTGACACCTCTGTTTTCGGGGTAGTTATTTTGTCCTCTCTTGAAATGCTCATTTCTGTCATTTGCTGAGTTACAGGCAAGGCAGCCACAGGCACATTTCTATTTGAGTTCAAGCAAACATTTTTAAAGATGTTAAGGGTACTTCTTTATTGAGATAATAAGTTGTCAGTTCAACTTTAAATTATATATCATTTCCAACATAATCAAATGGAGTAAATAATCTAAAATTTTAAACGAGTATCGGATGCTCAGCAATAACGGTTGAGAATAAAGAAAGCAATTTGATAAATCCAAGGCTGCATATTTGTATAAGTCACAATGTTTTATTATAGCCAACCAGAATTTTTAGCTGTGCCTGTAATCTGTTTAAGGGCAAAAGGGGGCAGTTTTGCCAAAATGCCTCGTGTGGCATTACACTAAAGTCTGCAGAGCCTCACTCCCTACAGTCTCTAAACCTCAATTACAAGAAAATAAAAGCACAGCATTCTCAACACAGCATCCTTGGGGGTGTTTTGGAGTACTTTGTAAGATACATCTTTACTCAATGACCTACAAGATCATATATTAAAAGATACTGAAATCCATGACTGTGCAACACATGCAAAGCCAAGGGAATATGATATATTAACATCCTTATTATCTATGAACAGTCATAATTATAATTGTATGGATAACACAGGTAATCTTTATTTCCTCTTTGTATTATCATAAAAACTCTGAAATGCTCAATCTTACCTTGATTTTTCAGATGTGCTGCCAGCAGCACCTTCACAGTTGTTTAAACTAGCGTCTGCTCTTTGTACAGATGCAGAATCTGAGGTAGGACTGTTGGAACCACTAGCTGTCCCTATTTAAAAAAAGGATTTGTAAGAAACAAAGAAATACTACATTCAGTATCAAGACTATTAATAAGTAACAAATACTTGCATTTAATTAGGTTAGTGATTTAAGCATTTTCATTGTGCTGGAGAATCCTACACCTGAGTGAGTATCCAAACAAAAATATATACTAAAAAGTCATATCCAGTAAATACAAGTACGAAACAAAACCTCAAAGAGAAAAATGCATAGCTAGTCAAGATGTTTGTAGGTAGTCATTCATTCCTGATGTAGTCATGCCAAGTACTTGGGCCGTTGCTTTAATTTCAAGTTTCTCAGGTCTTCTCTCTTTGGGCTTTCAGCATTGATTCTCAGTCTTGGGCCCCAATTCTTGGCTCTATATTTTCTGTTCACCAGTTAGTTCTTCAAATGGGTTTTTCCTTGGAAACAACTTACCCATTGGGCTCATTCTTCCACTATTCTGCTGCCTCTGAAGATGTTCTTTGTAGCAAACAGAACACATTCCATTTGTCCTAGGATTCCCATAAAAGCCACATCCTGTACTACACAGCATGGGCCCTGGGGTCTGGTTAGTCTCCTGAGCCATATTTTTCTGCTATAAAAAAAAAAAAAAATTGTTTTTTAGAAACTAACATGTAACCAAAATAAAATCACTAAATTAGTATACGATGGGCGCCAGTGTACATTTTCCTAAATACCAAGTCTATTTCTAACAAAGAACCAAATTGTGCTAATCATTAAAGAGTAGTCCAAGAAAATTTTGCTGCCTTTATAAAATAAAGGGCATGAAAGTAATTGTTTTCTAGCTCAATAAATAACAACCTATGACTTCACATTCTCTCAGACAAGAAAATTCTACCATTAAACATAAAAATGTATTTATTTCACCTGTCACTATTTTTTGTTTCAATTTCCGAAAAGGTCACTATGCCTGATATCAGCATTATGTTTGAATCAATTTAGGCAGCTGATGTCTTGCTCTTCTTCACAATGGTTAAAAATATATTAAATGGAACTTGCAAATGAGAAAAAAAAACTACAAATCTTAATTATGGACTCTTGAGATTTACTAGTGGTTCTTTAAAACTAGCCACATTTTAGATGCAGCTGTAAAGTTTTCTTAACACCTGAACATACTTGGGCACGAATAGTAATTCAACAACTCTGCTACAGGGCAGGACATTTGTACTTTTAAAATGCTGCAACACCTTTATAACAGACTGGTAGATCATCTGGCCTTTCCTGTTACCTTGGAAACAACAAGTGAAGCTCTAAGAATTTAGGGGGTCAGTTGCTTATGCTTTTATGTTCTACATTTGAGGTGTGAAGTCTTGGTCAGTACTTTCAAGTCAGTGCCTAGAAACCTGCAACGGAAAATTATTAACCACAGATTTCTCAGCCAAAGGCTCTATTGCTTAAATTTAACAAGTGCTTGTCTTTCTCATACCAGAAAACAAAACCTTTTCAAGCCCAATTTCAATAAGGCAAAGTAAAGCAATTTAAATACATCTTCAGTAATGGTTAATGTTAGGTTACTAGAAAAAACTCCACAGAAAGCACACTCCACAAAGCATTTTCCACAAGCTTTGTTAAAACTAGCATAGAGTAATATTTTGCTAAACTTAGTAAATTTTCTTGAGTTAAGAGAAAATACACACTATTTAAGAAAAATGTGGGTTACTGTGACAACTAAAAATATGTATGTATATACAAAAATCATACTTGACAACATTTTCTCAAAAGGTCATTTGCTCTAATTTGTCACTGTCATTTAAATGCACCTTACTGTCGATAATAGAGATCACTTATGATTTATTAAATTATGAATATTTCAAATAAGTGCAGGGAAATACTTCAAGTTACAGCTTGCCACCTTCTGGAATTTCATGCCTTTTCCCAACTACCACTTCTAAAATACATTCTTTAGTGAATTATTTTAAAAAATGTCATAACAGTTATTAGAAATTTTTACTAACAAAATTATTTTTATAAAAGATGGGAGAGGACTGACCAACTCTGACATGGCATAATCCTCACAATTATTTTCCCAGTTAAATAATAACAACCTTTGCTTCTGTTAGCAAAAATACATCACTTTCAAGCTTTAAAATATTTCAAGCCAGTTAAGCTTGTGTGGAGAGTGACCAAGATCCACAACTTACTTCAAACAATAGTACTAATATAGTTGACACTGGCTCTTTAAATAGGAAGTGGAATTTAGCTGACTCATTTTGGAGCAGAGTAGTGTAAACATTTCAACATCCCTTACGAAGTTTATTAATAAACAGCTGGATTTTTAAAAATTTGAGCATAATATGTGTAAAAAATACTTCAAATAATAAATCTGAATCTTTATCCTAAAGAAAAAGTTGGGCCATTCCTTCGACCCAGTTTAAGAATTATGCTAGCTCACACTTTCTATACGAGCTTGCAGTATCACCTGACAGTGGCTTTAATAGCAAATTGGCTATTAAATGTTTGAGCCAACAAACATTAATATTTGTTAATCTGATTCTTAAAATCTTCCATTTTATATAAATAAAACAGGGAGGGGGCAATCTCATCCTATGATCTCACTCACTTTGACATGCAAAGTATTCCACTTTTCCTTCTTCAGAAAACACATCTACCATCTTCAATTCACTATAAATACCCTCCAACTCTGAGACAACAGGACATGTCTTCTCATCTTGTAGATTGTTTCCCCCTAGAAAGCCAGCTTTAAAATGCCATCACATGTGCACAGCTTGCCTTAATATTTCTCAGAAGCTTAGATCACATGGGCGGGCGTTTCAGCCTGTCACAAGGCTGCAATGTGACAGGCTGAGCTGGATGGAGGCTCTCACATAAAGCCTAGTCAACAGGGGGCCTCTGAAATCAGCTTCTATTTATATCTCAGAGCCTGCCAACTCCTACACAACCCCCAAAACTAAGGATGCAGAGTTCACACATCTAATATAATAAGAAAACAAAACAAAAAGATGCCATTTATGCTGCTATAGTTTTTTTCTAATGTAGGGAGGGTTAGAGAACAATCTCAAATCCAATCTAGAAGATGCAAGCAGGCATCATTAATCATCATGAAGCAAAATGGCCAGGGTTGTTTATAAAAACCAAGCACAGCAGAGAGAGCAAAGCAGCAAGAATCCTCATGATGAGTTGCAATTTATTCTTTTTTGGGGGCGGAGGAAGCTTGCCATTAGGTACTGTGGTTTCCTCCTACTTGGCAATGTTTTAGAAAAATACAGTACCATTACTATTTAGTACCCTTTAAGCTGATAGAAACTTGAGCATTATGTGCCAGCTCTATTGCATACAGGTGAAATATTTATTTTTCTAGGTTTGGCTTCCTCTAATCCATAGCTTCAAAAAAATCCCACCAAACGTGGACATGCAACTGAAAAACTCTCCAGCCTCCAATTTAAAAAAAGGGGGGGCTTTTAAAAACATGGATTTTAGTTCTTTCAGGCACACATAATGTTAAAAGATGTTAAGAATGCCCACTCACCTGGAGTTGATACCTGAGTTCTAGCCTCTAATCTACCTCTAAGCCAGTGACCTTGGGCAAGACCTCATTCTACCTATCTCAGTTTCCTCTTTGCCAAATGGAGATCAGTGTAATTTTAAAAGGCTTCTTTCCAGGCTTAATACCAGGCCTGAGAGAGAAAATAAGGGAAAACTACAACAAATCCCTTTACAGGAACATTTTAAGAAAAAACTTGAAATACTAAATCGCAATATTTTCCCTAATTCAATTTTAAAATCCTGCTTTTTAAAAATAAGTAAAATGGAATTCAGGTTTTTTTTATATGCCTGTAAATTACCTGAATATCTGGTTTAAGAACAGGGGGGCTCCGTGACCTATATTACTTTACACCTGTATGTCCTTAGACCAGATTCTTAGGAGGCATTCAATCAATAAAGACAACCCGGGCCTTTCCCAAAACACAGCTCCACTGGGGGCTTTGCAAGAAGAGCACAGAATTTCACGTTCACCACCCTAAATGCACGAAACAAAGGGGAAGGTGCTCCATTTCGTTCATGAAAGGGATCCTGGGCGAGAAACGCCACCAACGTAGGTAAAACTAACACAAGACGACAGAGAGGGCCCCCTCACCCACGTTCCAGCGGGTTTTAGAACAAGTTCGGGTCCCACTGGTCCCCCACCCCTCGCCAAGCACAGGCCTCGCTCAGGAAAGCCCAACAGGGCCTTCTCCAAAAACCACTGAGTCATGCAGACAGCACCCTCCGCAGGGCAGGCCGGCCCCTCACCCTGCGGGCCTGCACCGACCCCCGGGCTTCAACGGCTCCCCCGAGGAGGCTGCGGGGAGCTGGGGGGGTGTGGGGAGTGGGGGCCGGGGACGCGGCCACCGCCTCTTTGTCTCCCCGGGTCGGGCTGCCCACGTCGGGCGCCGCCGCCAAGGGCGACCGGGACTCTCGCGATGGAGGCCCGGGGCCCGGAGCCTGCGTCCCCACGCCCGGAGGGCGCACGCCGGGTATTGTTCCCGACGGTGGGTTAGGGAGTAAGCCCGGGGCGCAGGGAGCCGAGGCTCGGGCCACGACGACAGGATGACGCCGCCGTCTTTGTGTTTCCTGAGCGGGCGGGCTCCCCTCCCCCGGATGCCGCCATCCGCGACCCGCTCGGGCCTCGCCGGAGCCCCGTGGCGTTCCGGTCCCCGCAAGGCCACCCCCGGCCCGGCACGAGCAGCCGGGCGCCCTCCCCCGGCTCCCCACCACTCACCCTGCGTGACCAGAAGTGCAGGAGTCGAGCTTGCGCGCGACGCCGGCGCGGTGGGGCCGGGCAGAAGCCTCAGATGGGCGAGCCGGGCCCCCTGGAGCCGCCGCCGCCGCCGCGGGCCGGGAGCGGGTAGGAGCCGCAGGCGGAGGTGGCGCTGCCGCCGCCGCGGGGTCCTTCTTTTGTTCCTGCAGTAGCACCGAGCGTGGCCGGGACACGCCGGAGCTCGGGAAGTGGGAGGAGGGAAGCGGGGGGGGTGAGCAGAGGGGGAGGCGGAGGGAGGACCGGAGGCTGCGGCGGCTAACGCTGCTCGCGGCGCTCGCCCCTCGTTTCCTCACGCCTCCACCGGCGGCGGGTACGGCCGACTCCGAGGGAGAGCGGTGCGCGCGCAGCGAGGACTGGGCACCGCGGGGGCCCGCTGATGGCGCTCTCCGGCGCTTGTGCGACCGCCGATGAGGCCGTGGCTCCCGGGAGCGAGCGAGCCCCGCGACTACATGCAGACAGGTCCGCGGTCCGGCCGACTGACGCTTCCTCTTCGCCCCGCGCTCAGGCAGCGAGGGAAGAGGGAGGGAGGGGGCGGGGCCTGTGCGTCATCGAAAACCCCGACGGCGGCGGAGGGGAGCGCGGTGACGTAGCCTGCCCGACGCCCCACCCCGCCCCCCAGTCAGTCGGTCCTGGAGGCGGGGCGGAGCCTGACTACACTGCTGTCGCGCGAGTGGAGTCACTGGTCCGGCTCCGGCCCCAGGGTGGAGCTGGAAAGAGCGAGTCCTACAGAGGATGCGGTTCTATTTTTAACCCGATTGTTCGCCCTCATCCTCCCTCCTCCCGATTTTCTCACTCAAGCCTGCTTTTCTCCTGAGTTCTCACGATTTTTCTTGAGCCCTTTCCTCCTTCCTCTCCAACTACCCCTCCCCCACCCCTCAATAATGAGAAGGATCGCGAAAAGAAAAAAACTACTTTATAGCTTTTGGGTCTTTTCGCAAGTTTATTAAGTTTTCGCCTGCCCCGCCCCAGTCCCTCCCACCCCCTTTCGGTTCCAGAGTCCTGCTTGAGCGCTGCCCTGAACCGCCGCGAAGGAGGGGACGGCGGCGCTCGCTCAAGGTCACGGTTGGTTGTGCAGAGTCAGGAAACGCTCCGCCGTCTAGCTGCCAGTCCTCGGGCCCGGCTCTGTTCTGAACAAACTGTTTTGGTCAGCCTATAAAATCCCTGGAAATGGACTCTTCCAGCAAAGCATCATGAAATGGGAAAGCACCAAATGTTCTACTCAAGAAATGGAGTTAAGGGACAAACAAGCTTGACCTAAGGCAGAGATGAGAAAGGAGGAAACGTTGCAGGAGGAAGTTCAAGAGGAGGAAGGTATTGAGCAGGCAATTCACAAGTGAGGCCCAGGGCCCAAAACTTGGAAGGGTGAGTTAACTCAAAATACTGAGAACCTTTGCAAAGCACCAGCCTAAAAACCCCCACTTCGAGCTGTCCTCTCCAAGCGACTTTAGTTCAAGTCCAAAGGACAAAATTCTAAAGACAGAAAGGACTTGGGATGTTTTCTAGTAACCAATAGCGTAATGAGTAAATAGAAATGATGTTTAGGCTTAACCACCATTAAGAATGAGAAGTCCCTTCATTGTTTCCCAAACTCGCTGATCTGGAAAGTGCCCTGGGGTAATTATTTTTAAAATTCCTAGGCCTCTCTCCTGGAAATGGTTTTGTTTGGTCTGGGATGGAGCTCAGGAACCTATGTTTTAAGTAGTGCTCCAGGCGATTCTTTATAATTTTGTGTACTGGGAGACCCTGTTTTGGTGCTCTGTACCAGAAGTTCCAAAATCAGTTTCCTGCCACAGTATGCAGAATACCTGGAATATAAATGACCCTTTAGACTTATCTCTGTGGTCAGTTAATGTGTTAGAAATGTTCATTGATCCCAGGGCCGTTGGAATTTATTTCCTTGAATGAGTAGATAAATTAGTAAAAATATAGCAGTTACCATTTACAGACCATATTTGGTACTAAGTATTTTTCTCCATTTAGGATGTCTCATTTAATCTTCAAGGCAATTCACTGAGGTAGGTACTATTATATCCATTTTTATAGATAAGTGAGTAATAAGTGACTTGCTTGAAGCTCTGAAGGACAAGGAAGCTATCGAAGTAATTCTTACTGAGGAAATAAAAAACAACAAAAAAAAACAGATTGCCCTCCCCCAGAATTTTAGTTATTAAAAGGTGAAATGAGTCCTGGCCTGTTTTGGCTCAGTTGTTAAGCGTGTCAGCCCACAGACAGAAGAGTCAAGGGTTTGATTCTTGGTCAAGGGCACCATACTCGCTTGCAGGTTTGATACTTGGCCCTTGATGTGTGGGAGGCAACCAATCGATGTCTCTCTCTCTCTCTCTCTCTCTTTCTCTCTCTTTCTCTCTCTCTTACCCTCTCACCCCTCTGGCCAGCCCCTCTCTGTCTCCCTTCTCCCCTCCCACTGTATCTAAAAAATCTGTGGAAAAATATCCTCAGGTGAGGATTTAAAAAAAAAAAAAGTGAAACAAGGTAATTCCTGAAGAAGCATAATTGAAAAAAACAAAACAAAACCCACAACTAACAGTAATAAAGCAAGCTCGTTATTTAATAATGTATTGTATAATATATGTTACGTAGCCTCATCTAATAATTCACGTTCTCTACCAGCCATTTATAATGTTCTGTATGAGCCCTGGCCAGTTTGGCTCAGCGGTTGAGTGTCGTCGGCCTGCGGACCAGAGAGTCCCGGGTTCGGTTCCCGCTAAGGGCACGTACTATTAAAAAAAAAAAAAAAAAAATCAATATAATGTTCTGTATGAGACTTTCAACCAAGAGTGTGGCTGGTATTGAACCCAGTTTTAGCAAAATTTCCTTCCAGCTACTACCCTAGTCATTCTCAAAATGTGATTCCTAGACAAGCAGCATCAGTATTACCTGGGCACTTGTTAGAAAGACAAATTCTCAAGCCCCCACCCCAGACCTATGGAATCACAAACTCTGGGGTTTGGTCCAGCAATCAGTATTTTAACAAGTTTCTCTTATGAATCCAATAATATGCTCAAGTTTGAAAACTGTTGACTTACCCCTAATATGCCATCAGGTGACCTCTCTCAGATGCTCACACCAGGTAAAGACAAAAGGTTAAAAAAAGAAGAGATTTTTTCATGTTACTGATGTAATAGATTATGGGGTATGCTTCTATGGAGTTTTTTTCTTCTTTTTTCCTTTGGTGGTCTAAATTTTCATTTGGACTCTAGAGACAAACTATAAAACACATATTATACAATAGAATGCTCTTCATATAGTAAACAAAAGGGGTGTCACTCTATGGTCGTCAGAGAAGGTTGAAACCAGCCTTTGTAAAATAGATAACAGGAAAAGTGAGGCATGCTTGAATGTGAGATTATCAATTAATTGTTCAAAAACACCTTTGTAGAGTTTCATTATGTAGAGCAAAATTGGTTCTATGGAAAATAGAGCCTCACAAGGTGATCTGATCATAAATTTCTAACTGGGGCCCTGGCTGGTTTGGCTCAGCTGTTAGAGCGTCAGCCTGTAGACCAATGAGTCTCTGGTTCAGTTAGTCAAGGGCACGTACCTAGGTTGCAGTTCCTCCCTGACCCTGGTTGGGTGGTTCAGGAGACAACCAGTCAGTGTGTCTCTTTCTCATTGAAAGAGGCCTGGGGACAAACTGCAACCGAGGCACGTGCCCTTAGTGGGAACCGAACCCAGGACTCTCCAGTCCGCAGGCCGATACTGTAACCACTCAACCAAACCAGCTAGGGCTGCATATAACTTTTAATAAAAGCTTTGTCTTTGCCTTAAGCAGGCCCTGTTCATTGTTTTTATGCATCTAGCTTAACACAACTTTGAAATAGGTGTAACCACCCTCAAGAGAGCACATAATCTTTAACTATTCAGTTATCCAATTCCTGCCTTACTTTCTTCCACCTTTGTGTAATCTTCCTTATGTTTCCCCCTTAACTTTAAATGCATAAAAGAAACTGCAAAACTGTCATTCTCCAAAACATTTAAGATCTTGTATCCTTGCAGTTGTCGTCAGTTTGGCTCAATATCTTATAAAAATTTTTGTATGTTTGGACCTTCTTTTTCTTTATTGATTTTAGAGAGAGAGGAAGGGAGAAGGAGAGAGATAGAAACATTGATGAGAGAGAACATCGATTGGCTGCCTCCTGCCTGCCCCCGACTGGGATTTTTGGCTTACAACCTGGGCATGTGCTCTGACTGGGAATCAAACTGGCGACTCTTGGTGCATGCAACGCTCAACCACTGAGCCATACTGGCCAGGCTGGACCTTCTTAAATAGACAATTGCATGGCACATATCAAGTGACTGGTACTGATCCACTCCTAAGTATTCATTGAAAATAATGATAATTCAATTATTTTTAACTCATTTTTTTCTTTAAAAATGTTTTGCACATTTAACTACATTCTAGGCACCCACGGAACTGGGTACTGGAATATACATTGGTGGGAAAAATGAATCTTACTCTAGTTCTTATGGATCTTGTCATGTTGGTGAGAAAGATGTTAACAATATTATCATATAAATATATAATTATAAACTGGTAAATACTTTAAAAGAAAGGTACAGAATGCCATGGGAGCATATAACCAATAACAGTGAGTTCCATCACCAATCCAGTGGAGCCAGGCTTCTTTTTTTTAATCCTCACTGGAGGATATTTTTCTATGAGGGAGAGAGAGAGAAATATCCACATGAGAGGGACACATTGACAGGTTGCCTCCCGCATGACCCGAGCAGGGCCAGGGATGAACCACAAACTAGGTATGTGTCCTTGGCTGGAATCGAACCTGGGACTCATTGGTCTGTGGGCCGGTGCTCTACTGCTGAGCCATACTGGCCAGGGCCAGGCTTTCTTCTTTAAATTGTTTATAGTAAACTGGCATGACCTTTGAGAAAGTTGGAACGGTTTGTATTCTGCTTCAGAATTAGGTAAAGTCATTGCAGATTCAGTTACATTTTTCTTTGTAGTCTAGGAATGGGCCAAAAAGGGATTGATGATTGGAGAAGAACAAATGTAATTAAATTTCTTTGAAAGTAGAAACTGACATCCCTCAAAAATAGCAATAAAAGTTATTAGTCCACTGTCAAATATAAAAGACCTGGAGTTATTTTAACTTGACATTTAACTTTCTGTTATGGAGACAAGAATTGCTTCTGTGGCGTTATTGTAATACCCTATCATGGGTAACTTCATTTTTCTGTGTGCTTGAGTAGAGCTATGTGAAGCACAAAGACTTTGCTGGGGTTTTAAAAACTTTTGGGTGCCCTAGCTGGTGCAGCTCAGTTGGTTGGAGCATCATCCTGTACACCAAAAGGCTGTGGGTTCTATTTTCAGTCAGGGCACATCCCCGGGTTATAGGTTTGATTCCTGTTTGTGTCTTGTGCCCATTTGATGCTTCTCTCTCTCTCTCTCCCTCCTTCCCCCTCTCCCCCTCCCCCCTCTCTAAAATCAATTAAAAAAAAAACAACTGGTGGGTGTCACCTGGCTGGTGTGGTTCAGTGGTTGAGCGTTGACCCATGCACCAAGGTGTCACCAGTTCAATTCCCTGTCAGGGCACATGCCCAGGTTGTGGGCCAAATCCCCAGTGGGAGGTATGCAGGAGGTGGCCAGTCAATGTTCTCTTTCATCTATGTTTCTAGCTCTTTCTCCCTCTCCCTTCCTCTCTCTTTAAAATCAATAAAGGAAAAAAAAAATGTTTTTTAATTAAAAATAAAAACTGTTGGGTGTCATTTGATGTTCACATAGTGCTTTCTCTCCTTTCTTCTTCAGCCCTTCCCACATCTCAAAGATCAAGGTAAAGAGAGTCAATTGTATTTTTATTTATTTATTTTTTTAATCCTCACTCGAGGACACCCATTTTTTTTTTCAGATAGAGTGGGAGGGAGAGAGAGGAAGAGAGAGAAACACATCGAGTGGCTGCCACCTGCACGACCCAACCAGGGCCAGGGACAAACTGCAACCGAGGTATGTGCCCTTAGCAGGAACCGAACCTGGGTCTCTCTGGACCACAGGCTGACGCTCTAACAGCTGAGCCAAACCAACCAGGGCAGTTGATTGTATTTTTATTATTTTCAGAGTGATTGACTGAAAGGATTGAGTGTTGTATTTAGAGCAAATCAACTAATTGAAAATTAAGAGCATAACATACAGTTATTTAATATTTTTTATTTTTAATAATTAATAATTAAAATATCAGTGAATTCAATAATGGATTGGTTGTAGACCCAGATCAACAAGTGGTTGGCTGACTTCTTTCCCCCAAGGAATTGATAAAGCAAGTAGCAATTAAATTGTATAGATCTTTTGGTAAACTTAAAGCCATACTTATTTTCAATGAAAACAACTTAAA